TAAGGGGACATCTACAGGGAAGCCAGGGTACCTTAGCTTCCTGCTAGGTCAAATGGAAACAGCAGAGACATATATTTCATAGGGCAGCTGTGACTGGCCAATGAGTTCAAACTGAGGGCAAGGCCTGCGTATCAGCTACCTGGTGGCTATTAGCAATGTTGTAATTTGGTGGCAGGCTCCATAGATCACTTAGGAAGCAGTTTCTCTGGCTCTCTCAGAGAGTGTAAAGCATTCCACACATCCCTGTCCCATCCACTTTCTGAATCCGAGTCTGAGCCAATCTCATACATCGGCACTTTGCCACTGGGCTGAGCTCAGGGCTATGCATGTGAGCCAACAAGCAAGCCAGCCAGATGCGACCTAAACCAGGACTTTGATGTTTCCCACTAGGGCCTCAGCTCACTCTCCGGACCTAGCCTGGGAAGACATCGGGCTAAAGTGACCCCAGCCATCTGGGTCACGTGGAACCCTACTCTAGAGCTCACACAGTCGGCACTTTACCACTGGGCTGAGCTCAGGGCTATGCATGTGAGCCAACAAGCGAGCCAGCCAGATGCGACCTAAACCAGGACTTTGATGTTTCCCACTAGGGCCTCAGCTCACTCTCCGGACCTAGCCTGGGAAGACATCGGGCTAAAGTGACCCCAGCCATCTGGGTCACGTGGAACCCTACTCTAGAGCTCACACAGATGGAGGAAAGCCAGTTCCAACGACAACGCATGACCCCTGTCCCCAGCCAGGCTTGGCTCCAGTTCTGCCACCACAGCTTTTGATCATGTGCGTCATTAAATTCCCCTTTTGCTTAATCCCATTCGGGTCTAAGTTTTCTTACCTGAAACCTGCTGATGGCTACATAGGACTGCTTCATACAAAGGGAGACCCTGAGCCTGGAAACTCACTCAGAAAAGGCTGCCAAGATCTAATACCTGAAGTCACTGCCCTGTCTGACCATGGCTCGGTGCTGCTTCCTAGAGCTACACTGAGTGTCTGTGCTAGCACCCTGGGGAGTCCAGATGAAATCCAGGAGCTGGGAGGGAGCTGAGCCAGTGGTGGAGTGAACCTGGCCTTTATTAAATGCTTGCTAGATGTAAGACACTGCTAACAGCTTTGGGTACAACACGGCCCTTGAGCCATGCCTGGAGGAATGGGCAGGGTCTGGGTATGTTGAAATGGGGGCAGGCCTGGCATTACTAAAGGAGGATTTCAAAACTGTCTGTGTGCCTTAAAGCCACAGGGGAGCAGCTGTGATGCCAAGCTGGAACAGGGCCCACTGGGCAGCAGACACCTTGCAAACACCCAGCTGCTCTACCCCACCCTTCCCTGCACCCAAGCATGCATCCCAGCAAGATGAATTGCATTCTGCCTTGACTCCTGGACCTGGGCATTTCCCTAATGTTTTCCACTTAATTCTGTCTATGCTAGAAACCCAATAAGCACTCTGGGAACCCAGGCGTGGACCAGTCAGACCAGTGAGAGGTGACTGTCAGACTGTTTTGCTGCCCCAGAACAGCCAGTCACTCTGTCCCAACCAAAATAATCTTTTCTGGGACATTTGGGTTAGAACATTTTTTATTTTAAAGAATGCAAAATCAGAGTGCACACTTGAGTAACTTTCACTGAATAAACATTTAAGGAGTGCCTACTGTATGCCAAGCATTTGAAGTGGGTTGAAGAAAAGGAGGGAGAGATGTGTTCATGCTGAGGTGAGGCGCTAACAAGACCGCGAAGACTCAAGGTCAAGGTCTTCCCTGTGTACCTGGACTGTGTTGGGAGCCTCTGGTAAAGAGGACTCCAGTAAGGCTTTTAACAGAAACCCAAGAATCCAAACAAGGCAGTAAAGAGAACAGCAGGCAGGGAAAAGAGGGAGAGATTGGGATGCCAGGTGAACAAGATCCTGCCACTCAGTAGAGAGAGGGAGAAGAGGAGCCTGGATTCAGGGGAAGTGCAACTCGCAAGGACAGAGAGAAAAGAAAACTTTCTGGGGCTGAGAGATGGCCGTAAGGTTAAGAGCACTGGCTGCTCTTGTAGAGGACCTGTGTTCAATTCCCAGCACCCACATGGCAGCTAACAACCATCTGTAACTCCAGTTTCAGAGGATCTGACGGCCTCTTCTGACCTCCACAGGCATTGCATGTTATGCGTGCACTTATATACACGCAGGCAATACACTCTTATACATAAAAAAGAAGCAATAAATAAAATATTTCTTTAAAAAAGAAAGAAGTATTTCCAAATTCTAGTGTACTCTGAGCCCCATGCTGTGAAATAGTGTACACAGAGCGTATGTACAGGTCCTGGAACACACTAGTACCATATTGTGTCCTCAGCACTTACCACACAGTGGGCAGGATGCTAAGCACTTGGTGCTTATGTATGTCACACTCGTAAGGCCCTTTTCTACCTCTGATTGAAGAAGAGACCAAGACTTAGGGAAGACACATGCACAAGGGCTCTCACCCCTAGGAAAAGCTGGATTCACACCCTGGTTGGGCTGCTGCCAGGAAGTAGCTGGCAGGTGACGCTCAGGGACCCATGAGCTCTTTACGTGCCCTGGTACCAGGGAAAGTTCAAATAATATCCAGCATCTTCTCAGCTTGGGGGTAGAGAGGGTGTGACACTGCTCTCCTGACCCCACCTCACTGGCTCTATCATTTTGACCTCAAAGAGATTCTGATTTAGTCATCATGACTCTTGAACACGCCCACAGTAATGCATGGTGTCTGCTCTGGTCACCTGCCTCATATTCAGCCTCGAAGGGTTAGAGAGAGTGAGGACATGCCCCCAGTGTCATCTAGAAGATTATTCAGGCAATCTAGTCCACTTGCAGCCTGACAAGGAAGCTGGAAGAATACAGCAGTGAAGAGCCTGGCTGCCAGCAGGAGGAGACGTGGGCACGGACCTTGGAGGCTTTGTCCCCAGGCCACGCCCCCTTCTGTACCCTAGCCTGCCAGATCACAGTCTCATCACCACAACCCCCAAGGGAACCTTGTCTTCAGTGGGCAGCTCTGCAGGGGCCACAATCCCCTGCACCTCTCTAAAGAATCTGCTCAGTCCTCCTGAGCCCTGAGGACCCAGGGCCAGGTCTGCTCAACCAGCCTGAGCCACACTCTCTGGGGCCATAACCCAGACACAGGCCATAAATAACTCTCAGGCTGTTTTCTGCTCTTTTTCCCCCCCGAGAGTTTCTCTGAAAGGGGGTGAAGTGAGGTGGGAGACTCCGAGGGGAGAGCTGCAAAAACTGCACATTTGGGCCGTTTTAAGAGACAGTAAAGGAGCAGGCTGCATTCAAAGGCGTACACAAGGCACATCCAGAGAATGCTTTGGAACATTCTACCTTTAAAATTAGCGTGGGAGGAAAGTTAGTGATCTAAGCGAGGGTGAAAGAGGAAAGAAAGGCTCTCGAAGTGGCTCTTATAGGCACACAGATCCCTTCCAGGATTCATCTATTTTTTATTAATCTCAGTGGTCCCAGTCTTGGACCACTGCTATGAATTTTGACAGGAGAGAGGTCTACAAAGACAGAGGCAGGTGTGAACTGTGGACATTATGTAGTCATCCGTCCTCTCACAGAAAGCTTTACCAACACCACCGAAAAAAGGGAAATTGTTTTAGAATCGACCTGAAAGATATATAGTGGACATTCAGCTAGGACGATTGACTTTAAAATCACCACAACTGGACTGAGGTGACAGCTTAGTTGGCAAAGCACTTGTCATGTAACCATGAGAACCTGAGTTGGACCAGAACAAACCCACTTTTAAAAAGTCAGGCCGTGTGTGTATAGATGTATAGATGAATTCCTAGGGCTCTCTGACCAGTCAGCCTTGCCTGTTTGGGCCATTCTAAGCCAATGAGAAAGCTTGTCTCAAAAAAAAAAAAAAAAAAAAAAAAAAAGAAGCAGAAGGGACCTAAGAAACAACATCTGAGACCATCCTCTGGCTTCCACACACTCATGCACATAGCCACAGATATGTGGAACTGCACACACACACACACACACACACACACACACACACACACACACACCACTCCCACCACCACCATCATAATTATCAAAAAGGCTGTGTCAACTTAAAATGTCCTTTAAGGGACTTGAATGGCTCAAAGGGTCACTTTTTGACTATCGGGGAGCTAGGGAAAGATAGTCTCTATTAGGACTTACTTAGACCATTGTGGAGTTATTAACTCAGGATAGTTAGGTGTATAGGAAGGAACTGGTCATTTGTGGATCTTTCCTGAGGCCCCAGGCTGCAGGAGACATTTCCTAGGCACAATGTTTAATCCTCACAGTATCCTAATCTAGTTCAGACAGGTTAAGTCATTTAAAAACCCCTAAGTTTCATTTGCAGCTGGCACAAAGCTGGGAAGCAAATTAAAACTAGTCAATAGCATATTCTAGGTCCAAAGCAATTCAGACAAGCAAGGAACAAGGTGAACTGAAGGGGACAGAGCCTCTTGAGGAAGGCTATGCATGTCTGTGTTTGATGTCAAAACCATAAGCACAGGTGAACATGGGATGGGAGCGATGTGAGACATGGCCCAGGGCCTGTATCCATCACTGAACAGGCAACCTGAGTCCCTCATGTTATGTCTGATGGAGAGGCTCCCAAAATGACAGTTTGCACTAGGAGTAAGCATACTGTCCTCAGGGAGGCTGAGTGTCACGCTTGCAGTATGATGGGAAGATTCCTTGGAACTTGAAGCTTCAGAAAGTAGCAGTGATCATGTGGTCTCATGTCAGTCAGCCACCAGGGGCCCTGGCTCTGGAAACTAAAGCAGTGTGCATGGGTTAAAGGTCTGTCTAGAAGAAGCTAAAGACAGGGGAAAAGAGTCATGTTAGCTAGTTTCCGTTACCCGTAACCCTATATAAGAACTTGATCAATACACAGCCTCAGCCTCCTGAGTACACAGGATCAAACAGATAGAGAAAAGGGACCAACACCATGCTAAAACATACAAACACAAAGCATTTAAAAATTTTTATTTATTATTATTTTGTGTGTATGTGTGATGAGGGCATAGCTGGGCCACAGATGGCCTGGGGAGGTTAGAGGATGACTTTGGGGAGTCTGTTCTGTCCTTCCACAGTGGGTACAAACACTAATGATTAGGCTTGCACAGCAAGCACTTTTACTCGCTAAGCATTCTTGCGAGGCTGACAAAAAAAAAAAAACATTTTTAAATGAATGATATGAAGATGTCTTATTTATTACACAGACTTCACTTTGATAGTCACATGCCCATCATATCTGATACACTAATGACTAAGGTAATACAAACAGAAATGCCTGCTTGTAGGATCAGGAGAGAGCTTTCACAATGCCAGGATGAATGAATACAGTAACATTTATTTTCTTCTTTAGTTTCTTATTGGAATTTTCAGGAGTTACACTTCAAATACTGCGCAAAACAAACAAACAAACAAAAAACCACCCTGATGTACCTTTCCACTGACATGCTAATTGAATTGTGAACAAGGTAAACCTTTATCGCAATGCAACCAATTTTATAGCAATGCGTTAATAGATTAGGCGAGCAGCACGCATCCGCAACATAAATATTGTTAGATTATGTCCCAACAGAATCAAAAGATTCTTGACAACCTCAAAAACACTTGAAAAATGAATGGACAGAATAGAATGCAAAATTGACAGGAAGCAAGGCATTCATTATTGAGGTGATCAAAAACATGCTGTTCCGTTGGAGGGGCTGGAGAGATGGCTCAGCGGTTAAGAACACCTGCTGCTCTTGCAGAGGACCTGGGTTCAGTTCCCAGCACCCACATGGTGGTTTACAACTACTTCTAACTCCAATTCCAGGGGATCTGTGCCCTTTTCTGGCCTCCAAGGGCACCTGTGCACACAATGCACATATATACACTCAGGCCTACACATAAAATAAATAAATAAGTCTTTTTTAAAAATCTGCTACTGGAGTCTCATGTAGGTACTTGGCATTTTTGGATTCCATAAACCCCTTCTTTATTAAAAATATAGTTTTTAATATACCTTATGCCTGCTTCTGTATGACAGTGACATAATCCATGCTAAATTAATGTTCCTTTCTTTTCTTCTGGTATTAAAAGAAACTCAAATGCTTCTGTGGGCCCGCAGTTGTCCCTAGGCACTGTGTCTGCTGTACCCACTGGAGAAGTTAGCATGCATCCTGTCAGAGCTCCTGTGCTGGCTTGGGAAACAGATTGAGACTTGCTCTCCCTGTGGCAGGAAGAAAAGAAGAGAGTTCATCTGGGCTCCCCAAACACCTTCCCTCCAAAACGAGATTTCCTTAGATAAATTCTGCATCCAAATAGAGAGGCATGCAAAACTCCTTCTGAGATGAACAAGGATGTGTCCTGAAGGAAATACCAAAGAGAACCTTTATCCATTCTGTAAAATGTAAGCAGGCACACTCCAATATCACACATACCAGAGGCCAAGGTCCAGAGTCTCCAGTCTCCAGTGGCATTGAGGAACGGCAGTTCTTTGGTTTAATAGACTCTTATTTCTACTTTGTCTAAACATTTATTCAACAAAGTACATACACTAATTTTAGAAAATCACCAAATAAAAATACTATCAGGTCTATGAATTAGACTTGAATTATTATTTGGGGTGAAGATCAGGACCCCTCTTCTGGGATAGGTGCTGGAGGGTGCTCCATGGGTGACATTCATAGAACAGCAAGCTCCAGAGTACCCACAAACTAAGATACAAAACAGGGCACTAAGGGGCCCTCCCTCAGGCCCCAGCTGACAGTCAGAAGCACAGAAATTCAGAGTGTTGGTTTGGTCCATATGTTCTAGAACTGCGTTTCTTTCCGGGGTTGAACAGCTACTACATGCCTCTGAGACAGGAGGTAGCAAGTACCCTAGCCCCAGGTGAACACATTTCATATGGCTGTGCCATCATCCATCTACCCATCACCAATCTGCCCCTGGTTACCTAACATAAAAGACAGAACCTTCCTCAACATAGATTCTGTCCTCATCAATATCAATATTCTCTCTCTGTCTCTCTCTCCCTCTCTCTCATCTCTCCCCCCCCGTCTCTCATTTTTTAATCATCTCTGAATTGAAGACAATAAAACTCTTTGAAAGACTGAATGCCTTGGAGACGAATTCCCTTCCAAGTACAAACCAAGACAGAAATCAAAAGGGTTGGAATGGGAGTGTGGACTTATGTAGTTCCTAATCAAAGGAAAAGAAAAAAAAAAAAATGAAGGAGGCAGATACGCCTTGAAAAAAGAAGGGCCAGAAAAAGAGAGTCCGGCATGCTAATCTGTCGATTTGGAATGTCAAGAGCAGGGCAGAGCCCCATCACTGTACATCTCTGACTACTACCTAAAACGAAAAAAGTCCTTTCATTCCAGTGGTCCTGTGTCCACAAAGCAATTTGTTAAATTGAAGCATCCTCCCACAAGGCCACACCCGGAGTCCAAGGGACATAGAAAAGGAGCAGAGAGGGAGGAAGGCCGTTGCACCTTCCTAGAAAATGAGTGAGTCTGCCACATCTCTTGTAAAACAAGCATTTCAAGGAGGGCTGTGTTTAGATACCTGCTGAGATAAAACCAAAATAGAAATCAAATATACCGAGTCCTCAAACTCTATCACTACTACTAATTGGTTGCCACAGTCTTTCACCCGCCCAAGTTGATATCATGAATTGTATTTGTTTTTGTTCAATCAGAATTTACACTTCTGGTGGTCATCCTCCAGTAGATAACTCCAGCATTCCATGAAGAAACCAGCACCTTCGTCTGCCCATTCCCCCAACCCTGCTCCCCACAGTCCCCCATCTAAACATTACCCCTGGAAAGCAGCCCGTGAGTCTCATTTATCTGTTCTCTGCTTTCTCCTCGGAACCCACATGAGTTGTTTTCCAACTGCACCGGGAGAAAAAAAAATCAGAATTTATCGTACATATGTTTGTGTTCTACTTAATAAAAAGAAACCTATATTTTAAGATAAACTTTGTTAGTAATTCATGAAGTAAGTGACTATTTATGCTAATCAGGCAGAAATATATTCTCAGGCATAACGCATTACATAAATTTGAATGCAAAATGTTCAATTATGAAGTAAATACAGGTAACGCAAATAATAAATTACCTCTAATAAAAATTATAAAAGATGTGTCTTCAAAGAGAGCGGCTCTAACTTACAACTGTGAATTGCTTAAAGAGAGAAGAATTAATAAAGGCGGAATTACTCTGATTATCTAGCACATAATTCACCTATTCATAACGACTCTTCGTAATCAGACTGTTGTTTCTCGTCCTCGATATGAGGCAGGACGGTTTCCTCAGCAATTTTACCCTTATCAGATTATCTCGTCTGATTCTATTAATTTTCTTCTATGAATCTGCTAACAGTGATGTGTGGTTTACTTGTCTTGCTAAGTGAAGCCGGTTAAAGGGATTTATTTAACACTAGACCTAGGAACGGTATATATTTTATCACACTGTTTCTCTCAAGAACTCTTTCTTGAATCAATGGAGTTGGTCTCACGCTGAAATTTAGTGGACGCTGGTTATTTCTGCACTATAAAATCAGCTCATAGATAAACAAAGAGCTTGGGAATTCTAGATCCATCCTGCTCCCTTCTGGGTGCACATGTCTGATTTAAACATGATATATTTGAGCAGTAGTAACTCACAATCAGGAAGAACATATTCCTTTTAGTTTTTAATCTTTGCAATTTGACATGAAGGGCTCCCCACCCTGCCCAGGTTTGCATGAAGTTATGTATGTATTAACTGGGAGCCATGATTGTGCTTTCTGGTGTTTCTAAATCTTCTATATGACCCGCCCCATGCCCTCCTCCCCCTCAAATCCCTTCTATAAATATCCATTGCTTTCAGAGACTTTAATGCTACTGGTTTGAATTGGTCAATAATGACCAACGCATGGTTTCTAAATTACTGTTATATAGTTGTGCTGTGATGGCTGGGCTATCTAAGTGGGCTTTGGGGGGTGGGTTCAGCAGTGAGTGAGAAAACACAGTTCATATTGTATCTAGATTCCACTGGCTTGGCTAGAAGGGAAACTGTCAGCAAGGAAGTCCAAGGCCAAGTGGCCCTGCTGTAATTGTGGGGAATCAGAAACCTGAATAGGACTAATTAAAATGAGAGCGTGCAATTGTTATCGAAGAAAGGGCGCTAACAGAGAACTGTAAATGTTTAGGCACCCCCTGTGAATCACTAAATAATAAGTAAGACTGACAAGATGAGACCTAAACCCGAAAGCACTCCTACACGTCTTCAAAAACAATATTTCTGACCCTCTCCTCCTTTTTTTCAGGAGAAAGTAGAAGACTCGGAAAGACTCTGCAAAAAAGAGGAAGGAAAATGTCATGGCCGACAGCAGCAAACAAAAATTAAAGCATAGAAAGTGCAGATAATAATACATTTAGCTGCCCAAACATGGTCACTGAATGTCTAGAAATGATATATAATTACGGTTGGGTATATAGCCGTGAAGCTAAGTGGCATGGTCTCCATCATCAGCAAATTTTGTTTATAAAACGATGTTTATTTATAAATGTAGCAGTCTCCGTGTTCCTGGCCCAAAAAAGTACTTTTATTTTCCAGAGACAAAGATTGTACTTTACAGCTTTTAGCAAAAAATGCAATACCAAAGAATTTTTTAAATTATCATAAACAAAAAACGAATCCTTCCCAAAGACACATAAACTCATATTTTACATAAAAACATAAACTTCAGACATCTGTGGTTAACGAATTTTGGAAAGATCTAGAAAACCATGACTAAGGACAATGCTAAACCAGCTTAACATTTATGTGATTTTAAACACTCGTTTTCTCTCTGACTATAACGCTTTAACTTCATTACCAGGTGAAATATTGTTAAAGAGGAAGAAAGTAAAGAGAAATGTCTCTTAGGTCACATAAATATTGACATAATATTCACTCTTTCCC